CCGGAGCGCGAGATGCGTAAACATCATCCAAATTACCTCAGACCAGCCTTCATAGCCTTCTCACAGATGCATACAGTGTACCCACATAACCAGTTTCAATCACCGAAACTTCAGATGCCTGCTGTTGCGCCCGAACCTGTTGACAATACTTAATCGTAATCCATATAGATGCCATGATGCACGTAAAGTAGGATCAATCCGTTAAGACCAAAGACGTGTTTTATGCATCGTAGAGCGTAGATAGTTTTGGTAGGTATAGATACTTCATTCATTGTGCTGAATGCACGTTCATTTGTGGCAGTTTTCACAGGCAAGACATCAACTATGTGCAATAGAACGACTAAGTTGAAAAACATGCCAAAGGAGTAAATAAATGATAGGAGGGCAGCGATCAACGGATGTTGCCAATAGGTAGAAGGGCTGCGATCCACAGGAGGGCACTAATAGGTAGAAGAGCCCCGATCAACATCCCGAGTTTCGAGAGTAGGGCACCGATAGGTAGGAAGTTGGCGAGCAGCAGGAGGGCGCCAATGGATAGAAGGGCAGCGATCAACAGGAGGGCACCAATAGGTAGGAGGGCGCCGATCAACAATCAACAGGAGGGCGCCACGAAGTAAGAGGGTGGCGAGGAACAGGAGAGCACCAATAGGAGGGTGGCGATCAACAAGAGGTCGCCAATAGGTGGGAGGGCGGTCATCAACTGGAAGTCGCCAATGAGCGGAAGGGTGACGATTAAAATGGGGGTGGCAATGGTGAGGAGGGCGCCTTTGCTCAAGAGGATGACACGAACAGGAGGGCGTCTGTGCGGAGGGCGCTGGTCAACAGGAAGGTGCCAGTGGATAGGAGGGCGGTGATCAACAGGAGGGTGCCAGTGGTTAGGAGGGCGGCGATCTACACGAGGGCGCCAATAGGAGAAGGGCCCCGATTAACATTCAACAGGAAGGACTAGGGAACCAATAGGTAGGAGGGCGGCACTGAACAAGAGGGTGCCAAAAGGGAGAAAGGCGGCCTTCAAAATTTCACATGAGGGCTCAATAGGTAGGAGAGCGCCAATAATTATGAGGACGCCGATCAGCAGAAGGGCGGCAATGTGTAGCAGGGTGGCGACCTACAGGAGGGCGCCTTCGGGTGAGAGGGCGCTTATTTACAGGACAGCGGCTTACATAGGCGACCACCGTTACGCTTAGAGAGCTACAGCCTACAAATGTGGTTGGAGGGCGCCCGAGGGAGCCCTCCAACCGTATTTGGAGGGCGTATTTGGAATGGGCGTCCTCCGAGGGCGCCCTCCATCCGTATTTTCCCTGTAAACACATTCGCGATTGGAGGGCGCCCTCCAGTCGCGATTGTTTTTCGATTCGATTATATCACAATTGCATTTGCGATTGGAGGGCGCCTTCGGCGCCCTCCAATCGCAAAGGGCGCCTTCGGCGCCCAAGGGGGGGGGGGGGGGCCATGGCCCAGTGGCCCCCCCTGCCTACGCCCCTGGCGCTCCTTACCGCTGATTACATTAGATTCGCGTCAAATTCGGTGAGAAGACTGAGAAATGTACAGGCAATCACATGGTCAAAGAATTTTGGAAGTCGGCCAGTAACAACTTAAGTTATGAGTGTGTAAACACAAAATTGTGATTGCCGCGTTTCCCGCGTCGGCCGATCCCGCTTCAGCCGGCGACATCTTACCCTTAGCAGGCTTCTAACTGCCATATTTATTGTTGGATTATCTAGAAATTCACCATACATACTCACAAATGTCTGTTCTTTCGTATAGTGAAAGATTGAAGAAAATCGGCCGGTAACTTTTTGAGTTATCGGCATGTAAACGCAAAAAAGTTGCTAATATGGCAGATTTGACCACATTTGACCTCATTTGACCTTGAAGATATTGACCAAGGGTCATGAAATTCACACACAACAGAGTTCCCCATGGCCCCCACCTACCCTCCAAATTTCGTCTTTCTAGCTCCAGTGGGAGCTGAGATCTTAGGGGGGGGGGGCGACATCCGCCCCCCCCTTCCACTGGGCGTAGTACTCGCAACCGTTCCACTGCGCGTGTTAAGCCAGCAGGCCAAATGGACAAAAATCCATACAAACCCAGGTGATGCCACGGGCCCACGGCCCTCATCCTTGTCAGCGTCCACTCCCTCGGCGGCGGCGGCGGCGGCCCGCCGTGCCGTGCGCCGCGGCATGTTACCTCTCGCCGCGCCAGGGGCCGCGGGGCGGGACGCTACCCCCCGCTGCGCCAGGCGACCCCCGGGCCTGGGCACCGCCGCGACGGGCGACGGACGACAACAGAGCAAACAAAGGATGGGGCCGCCAGTCAGCCGGCGTAGTGAATGGGTAAATCCTTACTCGATAATACAGCAGGGACTGCTCCACGAACACGGGCAGGCCGTACGCTAGTAGACATTCGATGGAATAGGCGATTCGGGCGTAGGTCAGCCGGGCGTAGGTCACCCGGGCGTAGACATTCGATGGAGTAGGCGATTCGGGTGTAGGTCAGCCGGGCGTAGGTCACCCGGGCGTAGGCATTCGATGGAGTAGGCGATTCGGGCGTAGGTCAGCCGGGCGTAGGTCACCCGGGCGTAGACATTCGATGGAGTAGGCGATTCGGGCGTAGGTCAGCCGGGCGTAGGTCACCCGGGCGTAGACATTCGATGGAGTAGGCGATTCGGGCGTAGGTTAGCCGGGCGTAGGTCAGCCGGGCGTAGACATTCGATGGAGTAGGCTATTCGGGCGTAGGTCAGCCGGGCGTAGGTCACCCGGGCGTAGACATTCGATGGAGTAGGCGATTCGGGCGTAGGTCAGCCGGGCGTAGGTCACCCGGGCGTAGACATTCGATGGAATAGGCGATTCGGGCGTAGGTCACCCGGGCTGATCCCAAAATCACTACTTTTGCAAAACAGCTTGAACACCCTTGACTTCACGTGGCACGTGCCACGACGGTCACTGAGATGTGTCAAAAGTAGTCAATTACGGGGTAGAAGGAATGGGGCTACCCAGCAAAAAAGACCGCAGGCCAATCGGTCCAGCGGTTGCTGAGATATAAGCCTCTCAAAAGCGTTACAGGCCGGGCCGGGCCGGGCCGGGCCGCTCATACTGAGATTTTTCCGTTATATTGAAAAGATTCACTTCACTCGCTGCGCTCGCTCGCTCGTTAACACACATTTCAAAGTCACGATAATGGAAGACACATAAACTAGAAATGACCTACACACACACTAGAAATGACCCGATTATCATGCCTGACACACGTCTTATGTGGCCAGGCGGCACCCGTCGTTTAGCTGGAGAATACCCCGAGCGTTCAGCTGCCGATTTATGGCCGGGTCTCTCTCCTTGATGAGGATGGCCTCGAGGGCGACGAGACGCCGGCGGTCTCGAGCCCTTCCGACGATGGACGTGTTGGCCACGATCTCTTGTCGCGTCAGTCGGGTGTTGTGCTCAGTCTCGGTGTGCTGCTGTGGTCCGTCGCTCTGCAGATGCAGGGTCAGTCGTCGGGACAGAGATGTGGTGGTGAAGCCTATGTAGCCACTTTTCGGTAGAAGCGCGCAGTCTCCTTTAGTGCATTTAAAGTGGTACACAATGTTTTGCTCTGTTTGAGGGATGTCTTGTCGCACGTTGAGTTGTTTTTCATGATCAGGGATGCTGTTGTAGGGCTCCGGTAGAAGATGGTAAGCTTTATCCGGTCCTCTGGGTTAGTCGGCTTGCAGTTTCGTCTGATGATGTTCTTCAGCACAGTTTCTTCAGCGTGGTAGTTGTTGGTCATTTGATTTTGGTAGTAGAGGTTGATGGTGTTGCGTCGCTTGATAGGTGTCTGAGTCGAGCGGAGGTGCTTGTCTAAAGCCGTGTTTATGACCTGGTCGATATTCCTGAGGTCATAGCTGTTGTCCACGAGGATTTGCTTGATCCGTTGTAGTTCTTGGTGAACTAGAGGCAAAGTGGAGCAGTGGGTCAGGGCCCGGTGGACATAGGCCTTGATTACGCTGTCCTTGTAGCGATCAGGGCACTCACTCTTGCCATTCAGGCATCTTCCATCGTTGGTCTCCTTGCGATAGACGCCGGTGGTGAAGTTGGTGTCTCTGGCGTCAATTGACACATCTAGTAAATAATGTTAAAACCGAGCAGCTTACCAGATAAAGTGAGAAAAGGAGGTTAATAAACGTTAAACGTTTTTTTTATCAAGACAATAGCTTTGACAAAAACGGTCCCAAAACAGCGATTTCATTGTCATTGTGTTTATCACGCTTAGACGCACTGAATGATACACTTTTCCATCAACGGCGTTAAGCTAAATGTTGACGTCAGGTCAAGATAAGGTCAAATTTGGCCCAAGTCAGGGCATGATGTTAAAGAGATCGAGTCACATATCATTCGATTTGGCAGCTCATTACGAGTTCAATGGCGCCTTTCTCGACTCTAACGCAATTTGTACGCGAGTTATTTGTGAAAAACCTAAATGACCTCAAATGACATCACTTGCATCGTATATGACGTCACTCAAGGCTGACGTCATACATTTAGACATGCAATCTTGTAAACAATGTCAGCTCATTACGAGTTCAATGGCGCCTTTCTCGACTCTCTAACGCAATTTGTACGCGAGTTATTTGTGAAAAACCTAAATGACCTCAAATGACATCACTAGCATCGTATATGACGTCACTCAAGGCTGACGTCATACATTTAGACATGCAATCTTGTAAACAATGTATGAGTTCAAGGTTTGAAGAGATTGAGATAACAAAAGCCTATCTTTGGCAAGGATCAATAGATCATATTTGAGGTTATATTCTCACTATCTTTGATACCAGTGACGCAGGCCTTTCATGACGTCATAAGTGAACATGACCTTAACTTGACCTGGTAATTTTCCTCCTAGATTGTGTGCCAGTATTATCCATTTCGTTTGAGAACTTAGTTTCATATGTATCCCATATGGTTTCCACGATGCTAGCCTTGGCCAGATTTGAACCGGAATTAACACACAGCGCGCTGACCTACCTGCAGCCGAGGATCGGTCTCGCGTTTGATGCTCTCCATCAGCGGCCGCACCACGGGGTTCAGTTTGTCGGTGAGTCGATTCATCAGCACAAGCGGACGGGCCAGCGCCATCTGGGTCCTGACACACAGCAGGCACTCGGTCACAAAACCGTCTCTGTGGCAGTAGGGCGGCCGGGGCGCTGCCCTAGCGGCCCAATGTTCCGTGATCGGTCTGCTTCCGGTGCGCCAGGGCACACTGACACCGCGCATTTCCCAGCAGCTCATAGGCCCGGGAACAAGCAGGGGGGGGGGGGCAGAGACGCTGGCATCCCCCCCCCCCAACTTAAGAGCCGAGGCCCCCACCCAACATTGATGCAGTGAGGGAGGATATTCCTCCCTTATCCGAACTCAAACCTTTTTTCTTTATATAATGATACAGGGTGTCCCACAATAGTGTACCACATTTATTTTTAGCATAGCTTAGGAAAGCTTCAGCAGAATTTAGAAAAAGGTACCAAATACTAGCTCACTACGAATTTATTGGCAAGTGGTTTCAATATCATAAGTTACCGTGTTATACTCTTAACAGTGCATTTTCCAAAAGTCCACATTTTCAGTGAACGCTCGTGGTTTCGCCCCCCGACTAGCCTCAGTTAGGTACTTTCCGGATGCTCTTGCTGATCACAGACTTTATCACAACCTGAAGGCCAATCTGTGTTCCTAGCTTGACCTGGCCGAAGATCCCGTCCAGGTAGCCTAAGATATGGAAAACGGCAGGGGTTAACCCTCGCCCGTATAGGGTGGGGGGTCGAACGGACCCCCCCCATGGTTTTCCGCGAATAACTCGCGTAAAAAGCGGCCGAGCGCGACGAAACTTTCAGTACCCTCGCGTTATTCAATTTTACACCTACCCTGAAAATTTTATGACCCTGACCCAAATGACCTTTGCCCTGTGAACTACTTTTCGAGACCATGTTTGGCCAGAATCGCGATTCGGCGTATGTCGCCTCGCATTAGCGGCGCGTTTGCAGTCTTTTCGTGGTTTCAAGCGTTCAAACATGTGATATGGTGTTGCCCCCATGCATTGTGGTGGGTGTCAAGGTCACCTGAAGGTCAGGTCAGGTCATTGACCTTTGATGACCTCGGTTCACTTTTTCGAGTTTTACATGTTTCTAGGCCAGTTTTTTGAGCTGAATTCGAATTTAGCAACCATATGAACATTTACGAAGTAGTTTTGGTGCCTTCGTAACATGTTACGGAGCTGTCAGAGGCGGTTGACACCTACTAGGAATACCCGGCAGGGCCCCTACTGGTTGACCTGACCTGACCTGACCCGACCTGGACTAAATACATGACGACATCATCTGTGATCAAAACTAACATGATATTCGTGATCAGCACCCCGAAAAACCTCATAGCAGCCACACTTTACGACGTTCTAACAGGTCCCGATTTTCCCGACTTTTGGGTCATTGACCTGACCTGCAAGGTCAACCAATGACCTAGGACCTTAGAATTGGGTATCATCGGCTCCCTCTCGTCACGGGCAACACGCTCGTTTTTTCCGCGAAGCTCTAGCTCGATCAGGGGCGAAACGGCAAGGGGGGTCCAACGGACCCCCCCCCCCTTATACGTTCGCGGCTGGAAAAACACCAATACGGGCGAGGGTTAAGTTAGTGGAGTATGGCCTTTGCTCGCGCGTGAAGATAACGGGTGGTTTCCAACGGGCCTATGATTGTAAACTTGCGTCACCTAACGCTTTATGAGCTGCCAATGCGTTTCATAATGAGGAGGTTTATAATTTTGGTTCTCTTTGAGCGGTTGGTGTCCTGCTAATAGATTGCCGTGTCCTCAGTGTCGTAGCGCCTAACGTTGAACTTCGGCCGCCGCCTGCCCGTCTATTGTCTGCCTCGGGACACCAACTGAACGCGTTGGGGACATGTTCACTGAATGTTGGGGATATGGGTATGGAGACACCAGTTGACACAGCAAATTTCACTGTGTTGCATAATTTGTTGCATAATGTATAATTGGCTGGGATTTGTTGTCCAAGCACAACTTTTTGTTAAATTGTTCACCAAGTGAGAGCGGCTCAAGGATGCCGTTTCTGTTCCACCCTTCCGTTTCTGAATCTCCTGACCTTGAAAGGTAGGAGGTTCAAACGTGCACACCATGTCCCAAAGCCTAGAAAAGGATATAACGGTAGAAGAACTGGGAGTAACATTACGTCAGTTTAGTAATAACAAAAGCCCAGGTTCTGATGGATTCCCGTACGATTTTTATAAAGTTTTTTGGTGTGACATGAAACACTTTGTATATAGGTCCTTGCTTTTCGGATTGGAGAGAGGCGAGTTATCAATAACCCAAAGAGAAGGGTTGATAACTCTGGTACCTAAACCGTCTAAACCGAGGAACCAGATATCAAGCTGGAGACCTATCACCCTTCTAAATTCTACGTATAAGATACTTGCAGGAACTATTGCAAATAGACTAAGACGGTGTTGAGTTCGATTATACATGCGGATCAAACAGCTTTCATGAAAAATAGATTTATCGGGGAAAATATCCGTGCAACTTACGATGTTATATGGGAAACATATCACAGCAAAATCGAGGGACTACTTCTTTCAATTGACTTCAAAACTGCTTTTGATGTGATGAATTGGAAATTTTTGGGAAAATGTCTGAAAATGTTCAATTTCGGTGAAAAGTTCATCAAAATGTTCTGGTGCTTGCATAGACGAATTTTCTCGCGTATAGCCTATAACGGACATTTATCAGAGCAGATCATAAATTTAAACAGGGGATGTAGACAAGGGGACCCAATATCATGCTACTTTTTCATTATTGGTGCTGAAATCCTCGCAAATAAGGTGCGTCAAAATGAACACATCAGATGCATAACAATTAATGAGTCGACTATTAAATTTATTCAATATAAAGTCATGCCAAAGTTCGCGGCGCATAGCGCCGCGGTTTACGCGCTATACACGAAAAACCTCAGGGGGGCGGATACCCCCCCCCCGTCGGGTTAAGAACCACAAATCCTACATTATTCACATCAACATTTTTCTATAGAACTTATATTATCTACTTTCATCTAACTAGCTAGGGCTTTTTTACATCCCTGCCCTGCCCTGCCCTCAGAGCCACCAGTGTTGGGCCGTCAGGGTTGCTGGTGTGGGTCTGTGGGGCCCTCAGAACCGCCGAATGTGCCTGAAGAGGAACTAATGTAGGCCCTCAGAAAACTTGGTGTGGGGCCCCTAGAGCTGGCCGGTAAGAAGCAGGCAAGGGGCCCTCAGAGGCCGGTAAGCGACCTTCGGAGACAGGCAACGGGCCCTCAGAGGCCGCCAAGGGATCCTCAGAAGCCGGCGTGAGGCCCTTATGGAGATGTTAATGTGGCTACGTAGGGGCCCATAAGGTGCTCTGACCAGCCCTATGGAAGCTTTCTCAGTCGAACTGTGGCCAGCGTGGACCCTCAGTGGTCAACTGGCGCCGCAGGGCCCCCCAGACCGGAGGGGCCCATGAAACCAATGGGGGCACGCGCCCCCTAGCCCCCTGGCTATGCCACTGCTTCATATGCACTATATCAGGTATTTAAGGCTCGCAGTCCCCACCCCCTTCACTAGAAAATCATCCCCGGGCCAATGGAGCAGCTCATTCTAACAAAATCAAATGGTGCATTAGTCGCCAATGGGTACAGGTGGGGTCTCCACCTGGTTTGCTATGTTCAGCTGCTGAGACGGTGTTGTTTGAGCGAGACTGACCTGGTGGCCCAGCAAGTCTGCTCGTCGCCCACCAGGTGGCTGGCTGTGCGGACCGACTGCTGGCGGAGCTGCAGTGTCTCGGTGACCTGAGCCGAGAGGCTGTCCTGGACGCCAGCGAGCAGCTCGGCAGACACCGGGCCGCTCAACTGGCGGATTTGCTCGAAACTCAGCACACGTGCAGTCTGCCAAGCGCAGGGGCACACGTTAGACCTTAGAGCCACGGTTCTCGATGCACACGTCAGCGACGCGGTCGGATATCGATTAATGTCACTGTTGGTGGGAAACACCTCGAATGGTACAGGGACCCCCAGTTGCTTCTGTACACACTAGTATTTCAGCGTATTCTTGGCATGTGACACAGTTAAAGGCGATTTGGGAAATTATTGTAAGCTCATTGAAATTGCCGTTCGGAAGGCTTTAACTTGATATGATGGTCTCTTAACCCGCGCGGGGCTGGGGTCTCCAGCAGAACGCGCGGAGCTGGGGTCTCCAGCCGAACGCGCGGGGCTGGGGTCTCCAGCCGAACGCGCGGGGCTGGGGAGGGGTAAATTTTACCCCCTGTTATCTCCCGAACTAATGGTCCGATTTGGAAAATTCAAACGCCAATCGAAAGATCTCATCACGAACAACTAAAAACATGTACTTAAATTAAAGTTTGAGGTCAAGGTCAAGGTCAGGTCAAGGGTACAAATCGCAAGTTTCCACAGTATCGGCCTTGCACCGTAGTTGCCGAAGAATGGAGTCATGGACTGAGACTGATTGCCCAAAACGTGTTCTTAGGCTACCAAGACAATATTCCTTGCATACAATATCATTCAGAGGTCAAGGTCAAGGTCAAGTCAGGTCAGGTCAGGTCAGGTCACCAAAAACAAAATGTAGAAAAGGGCATGTGCGACACATGTTTTATGGGTCATTTTATCCATAGAATTCAATAGGCACACTCAATAGGTGATATGGACCACATCTGGATGAATTTCAGGTCGAGGTCAGGTCAAGGTCAGGTCAAGTGAGGTCAAATTTTGAAGTTGGTTGTTAAGGCCTACAATGATGTCCATCTGATGCAATTTTTCACGGCGAATCGAATGGTGCTATTTTTGATACCGTACGAGGTCTAGAACTTCCAAAAAATCATTTTTCAAAAAATTTGTTTGTCGTGACGTCATAGAATTTTGAATAACTCCCACATTTTTGAACCAATTCTTCTAAAAATTGGTATGTAGGTGCACATGGACCACTTCTCTGACATATATTCCGGTTTTTTCGATACACGCAAAATTTTGGATTTTATAATTATTTTCCCAAAAAAGTCAGTTTTTTAAAAAATTGTGCTAAAATCAAAATTTTTCAAAAAACCGAGATAGCCCTTTGATAGACAAAGAGAAATCACGTATAACTTTTTTTGTTACGTCTTGATTCCCTTAAAAATGAAGATGTTAGCGGCGTTTGAATTTTTACCGTTTTTGAGGCGAAAATGGCGAACATGACGTCACTAAAACGTCATTTTCTCAAAACATTTCCGAAGGATTTCACTCAAATTTTCAGGGAACATGTCAAATTGATGTAAAAAAAAGGTACTGAAAGTTTGGGGACGCTGTGCGCCGCCGTTTTTGAGACATTGCAAAAATTCGCAAGGGGGGCTAAAATTTACCCCCCAGCCCCGCGCGGGTTAACCCGCGCCCCATTGGCGTCTGCGTATAACACGCTCTACTGGGGGGGGGGGGGCTCTTCATAGCCCCCCTCCTGACTCCGAAACTACTGGGCCGATCGTCAACATTAAAACGGCGTCTGATAGCCCCGGAAAAAACTGTCGAACGAAGCCTCATTTCATTGACCTCGAGGTCACCGATGACGTCACAGGTCAGGTCAAAGTAAAAAATATTAGCATTTTGGCTTGTTAACATTTTGGGCTCTGGCCGCCGGCTTACAAGTCAGATCAGGCTCATTTTTGGTTTACACACTCGTCGACTCGGAGGGTGCTTCTCCTAATTTCTAGTACCAATTAGTTCCAAATAATGTTGAACTCAATGGGCAGTGCAAATTGCAGTTTCAAATAAGTCCCAAATGATACCAAATGCATAGCCGCGCGTGTTAACATTTGGAACTATTCGGGCCGCATTTGGGACTCATTGGTACTCGATTGGGACTGCCAGTGCCGGCCAGCGGCGGATCCAGCAGGCGGCGGGGGAAGCTGATTGGTTGTCTTGGCTCATGCCCCGTTTCGCCGGCCGGCCACAGGGTGCGCTAGCGTCGACTGCGGGCGGCGGCGGGCGGGCGGCCGGCGCTGAAAGAACGTATTAAAATGACAACATAAAAATGTTTTATCTTACATATCTCCCCTCACATTAGTCGCATAGATCTGTTCTTGGATTCAATCGAAGGCGCTTTCAACAAGCTATGTTGCTATGCCATGTTTATGCCAGGATATAGTCATTCAATGAAGTTATTGGTGTTTGAAGCCGTTTATTTGTCCTATTATTTCGCATTTTGCTACGTTAATTAATTGTTGCCTCCTCTTTATCAGCTCTATCTACCGAAACGCCATGTTGCTATGCATCCTTTTTGTTAGGATATAATAATTTAATGAAGTTATTGCCTATTGGTGCTTGAAGCCGTTTGCTTATCCTATTATTTCGCAGTATGCTTCGTTAATTGCTGCCTTCTCTTTATTCCTAAGGCTGGTATCATTTTGACCCTCGCAATTGATCCCCGGTATGATGGCGACCTCATGATGGCGAGGTCAGGAGTCCGAAATGACCTCACGTGACCCTCAGGAAAAATATGTCCATCATGAATCATAAAACAAAAAATATGTGCAGGTTCCTAAGCTACTAGCCTCTGGCGACAGTATTCATAACTTCTTATGAAAGAAATTTGTTAACATTTTGAACACCTATGAGCTATGATCCCAATGGATCTCACGACAAAATTGAGGAGCCAGATCTATGATCCGAGTGGATCTAGCGACAAAATTGAAGGGTCAGATCTATGATCCCAGTAGATCTCTCGACAAAATTGAGGGGCTGGATCTATGATCTGAATGGATCTCGGATCGGGATCCATGGGATCGGATCTCAGATCCATTTTTCCGGATCCAAGCACATGTCTGTCGTCAGCTTCCTCCTCTTCATCTGTCAGCTCATCAACAGTAGGCGGTGGCAGCGCCACGATATCCACTACTTCACTGTCACTGTCCGAGAAATCATCTCTCTCAAGCATCTCCAAGGCCTCTTTTACGGTAATCGCTTTTTCACGACGCATGGCGATTGCAGATCGACCACACTCCCGCGTAAAATAAAACGTATCTAAAAGCGTATCTTATCTCTAAGGTCGCACACACTCAGCTCGCAGTCCAACGCACGGGTGGAAACTGACGCTAGCGTCTCAGGGCTCACTTCCGCCCCCCCCCCCTCCCAGTCTCCCCTCACTACCACCCCACCCTGAACACCCCAAGGGTCTCCCCATAGCGTCACCCCCTCGCATTCCCGGCGGTCCCCTTACCGCCGCCCCGCCCTGCCACACCTCGGCGGCCGCGGCGGCCGGCCGTCCCGCCGCTACCCCGTTCCGCCCAGTGCAAGTGTCTTCATTTGATGACATCTAAATTTGGCGCTCTCCAGATCGCCAGAATTCTAGAAATGGCCGATGAGAATACGATTATATGTGTATAACATAATCCGTTGAGCAATGAGTGGAGTCAATTTGGACGTAACTATGTTCACAGTTGAATGGAAGCCAAATAAGCCGACGAGGGTCTCAATGTCTGAAAATCGCTAAATTTAAGCGCTTATCAAATACAAGAGGGTGAAGGGAAACAAACATAACGGGACCCAGGTGGTCGACAAAGACCTTCTCGACACGTTGGCGAGGTTCTAAGCCGTCTAACATATACCCGGTGTGCGCCACGTCTGGCTGTTTCGGGTGTCCTCATATGAGGACACTGAGCGCTAATGGGTTAGAATCTAAGACCGCACGTAGTATGAAGGATTCACGCTGCGACTTATTGCCGAAATTGGAATCCAGGAAAGACTTGAACATTTCAGACCATAAGATCCACCATGAGATCCCAACTGATTGTCATACTAGCAGCGACTGCAGTCAGAGGCGACTGAACGTTTACATACGTTCTGGATTTTTTCTCCACAAATAACCTTAAATTCTATAGTGCGCGCAGCCCCTCCTACTTGTGGACAGGGGTGACTGCATGAGTGCCAGATGGATGAGGCGTGAGACTGTCCCATATAGTGGCACTAAGGTAAAGGATGTCCTCGGCCGACGTACAGCCCACCGCTAAAGTAATGTGTGGTTTTACCAATATCAACGGATGGCTTTGACCGACGATTTTTAAATGCAGACTGATTGAAAAGAAGACGTCAATAGATAAAGTTGTAGCAGCAAGGGTGAAAATACATGTAAGCTACATTTAAAGTCTCGTTGCAGTCTGGCTAATCGTTCCTAGGCTTCAGAAGCAGAACATACCCATGACTGAAACCACACATTACTTCTGCTGTGGACTGTACCTAGTATACAAGACGACCTTTGATGATGTGAGTGTGCATGATCGACTTTGAATAAGCGCCATAGATACCTGCTGATCTCACCGAACATTCGCCTTGCGTAATCCCCAGACAAAATATCTACATTGAGGGACAGGTCAATTTTGCGACCTCTCCATTACCTATTAGTTAAACCGCGCCGTGCTGGTGGCCTGTGTTTTCCGTGTCATGCTGGGGGGGGGGGGGCGTTTTCACGCGACCCACTTTAACTTGGCTCCTGGGCCACGTAGCGACACGCGGTAAGCGGCAATCGAAAGAGCGTCAAAATAATGACGGAAACACTTTGTTTAGTTTTCAGGTCAGGTCAAAGGTCAGGTCGCCAGAGGTCATCAAAAGGTCAAATTTAGTCCATTTAAACAATTTTGGAAACTGCCAATGGATAAATCGGGAACCAATAGAGCTACAGCGCCGCGGAAAAGCCCATTCGATAGCCATTTTACAGACCTGTCTGATTATTGCCCTCAGAATTGACCCCGCGTCCACGGCTTAGCCTCCCGATGGCAAAACTCCCGATGGCAAAACTCCCGATGGAAAAACTTAAAATATCTGTTTTTAAGAAAAACGTTTTCTGCAATACCGTTTGCCTCAAGACAGTGACGAGATTTATTTTGCCAGCATCGTGTTCCTCTTGC